TTGCCAGCTTTCATGTATTGACCATTCACCAAATGTCAACTCCCGTGGGACCAAGACATGTCAGAATTGTATCTATCATTCAGTTAGTGTGTACACTTACTGGTGTGGATAGATTTGTAATGGATGAAAGACATTTCAGTTCTTAGAATCACTAAATGTAATTAGTATTTTGATTTCTTATGCAGCCTAAGTTAAATAAAAATAAATAACAGTGCCTGATAGAATATGGAAAAGTTATGGAGAACGAAAGAAAGAGCGAGGCGGCCAGTAATAGTATAGAATAACATTAAAGTGTCATTAAAGGCATGGATGGCTTCATGTGAAACCCTGTGGTATTTATGACAGCAGACATCAACTTATATTAGAATATTCTTTCTGCTTATTCATTTCCTATAAAGCAAGAGCTGTACCATACCTGATATTTGCTGAAGAATATTAGTAATGTGTTACAACTAAATCACCTGGAAACAAATCCTAGAGACCACTGTATATCTTTATCATATTGTTAGTCAAGTTTTATCTTATATGAGATATATAGGAGTTTTACATTTGATGTAGCTTTTTAGATTGTATGCAGTGGACCAAAACAATGAGCTGAAAGACCTTAAAGCAGCCAGGCTGTGGAGGTACAGAGGGACCAGGAGCTACACTGCCCTTTTGTTTTAAATAGGGCAGATGTGTGTAAATCCTTTAAAAGGGTTAACCCACACAAGGCTCCTGGACCTGATGGCATCCCTGGCCGTGTTCTCAGGGTGTGTGCAGTTCAGCTGGCAGAGGTGTTCACAGACATCTTCAACAGGTCCCTGCTGCAGTCTGTAGTCCCCACATGTCTTAAACACTCCACCATCATTCCTGTCCCCAAAAAGACAATCATCACCTGCCCCAACGACTACCGCCCAGTAGCACTCACCTCCATCATAATGAAGTGCTTTGAGCGGTTAGTCAAATTATTCATCACCTCCTCCCTCCCTGAATCTCTGGACCCCCTGCAGTTTGCCTACAGAGCAAACAGGTCCACAGACGACGCCATAGCCCTCACCCTCCACACTGCCCTCTCACACCTGGACCCGAAGAACAGGAACACATATGTGAGAATGCTGTTCATTGACTACAGTTCAGCATTCAACACCATTGTGCCCTCCAAGCTGGCCATCAAGCTCAGAGACCTCGGGCTCAACAGCGCCCTCTGCGACTGGATCCTGAACTTCCTGACGGGCAGACCCCAGGCAGTGCGGGTGGGAAACATCACATCCTCCACCCTGATTCTTAACACCGGTGCCCCTCAAGGCTGCGTGCTCAGCCCTCTCCTCTACTCCCTGTTCACCCACGACTGCGTGGCCACACACAGCTCCAACACCATCGTGAAGTTTGCTGATGACACGACCGTCATCGGCCAGATCACAGACGATGACGAGACGGCGTACAGAGAGGAGGTCGAAAACCTGACATCTTGGTGCCAGGAGAACAACCTCCATCTCAACATCAGCAAAACAAAGGAGCTGATTGTGGATTACAGGAAGCAGCAGGGAGAGGGACACGCCCCCATCGCCATCAATGGGACTACGGTGGAGAGAGTCAAAAGCTTCAGGTTCCTTGGGGTCCACATCACTGAGGACCTGACATGGTCTCTTCACACCACCACCATCACCAAGAAAGCTCGACAGCGGCTCTTCTTCCTCCGCAGGCTGAGGAGGTTCAAAATGGATTCCAGGATACTCTGCAACTTCTACAGGTGCACGATAGAGAGTATCCTCACTGGCAGCATGACGGCCTGGTACGGCAGCTGCACCGACCTCGATCGTAAGGCTTTACAGAGGGTGGTGAAAACTGCACAGCACATCACCAGGACGGAGCTGCCATCCATGGAGGACCTTTACTCCCAGCGGCTCAGGAAGAAATCACTACGGATTATCAAAGACCCCCATCACCCCAGCCACAAACTGTTCTTTCTGTTGCCGTCTGGCAGACGTTACCGCAGCATCCGGGCAAGGACAAGAAGATTCGGAGACAGTTTCTTCCCGCGGGCAGTGAGACTGTTAAACAATTGAACTGTTGAAACAACATCAAACATTCAACTGCTACTCAGTAGTATGTATCTAATACCTAATATATATATATCATTCCAATAACTTGTATATAGACTCATACTGCACTATTCCACATCATAACTTTATTTCATTTTTATAACTATTACTATTTTTGTATTGCTCTTGCTCTTATTGTTATTATGTTATGTTATTATGTTGCATTGTTGGAGAAGCCTGTGACATAAGATTTTCAACTGCATAATTACTCTGTAGCTATGTCAGATTGACAATAAAGAACCTTGAACCTTGAACCTTGAACCTTAAAACTGAGGGGGACTGCAGCATTGATCCTTTCTGTATGTCAGTATACGAGTAACAACTTTTACTATACAGTACATGTAGTAATTTGTTCAATTATTAAAATAAAGATTTTAATTATAGCAGCTTTAGGCCAAAGATGTAACAATGCTTTGTTTGGAGGTAAGACATGAATCATTTCCAATTAACATACCGTTAGGTCTAATATTATTAGTCATCTTGACAAGAAATAGTGGTGAAACTCTACATGTTTAACTTGCTCCTGTGTATACATTAATTATCTAATGGAATTTAAAGTGTTGATCCTTGGACAGAGATTAGTCCAAAGAGCTAAACGATGAATATGTATAAAGCTGGGATTTAAAAATGGTAAAATCTGAAAGCTTCATGTGCCTGTAGGGGATCAAAAGGGAGTCTGTTAAGTTCATAAAAGAATGGAAATGTTCTTTGTCCACAGTACAAGTACAGTACAACCTAGGGCTGTGCGATTATGATATTATTATTGATATCATGATTATTAAATACGATTATTCATTGACTTTGAAAACATCCATTTATTGAACTTTAAAACAAATACAAATAATAATTTGAACAGTATATTTTTAACTGTTGATTACCCTGAACGTATAATTCAACTGAAAAACCAATACAAAAATAAATTAAATAAATGATACATTTATATTTACATTTAAATAAATCATCAAAATAATAAATACCAATAAACAAGATCAGCAAATATTTTGGAGCGCACTTCAACAAGCTACTAAACATATGTAAATATGATAAATACAAATACAATTGATCAAATATGTTGCACTGTCACAACCAAGCAAAGCAAAATAATCGTTTTTTTCGATTATGTTGTTTTCGTAATTGTGGCAGGCCAAAATCGTAATTGCGATTTAAAATACGATTAATTGCACAGCCCTAGTACAACCTCAAATTAACTGCCACTGCTACTCTCTGCTTGTTGGCCTTATACTTGATTGTAGATATTGGCCTGCTGTGACTCCCTGTGATGATATATGATTAGTGGATATGTCTCATCTTTGCAGGCTAGAGCCAGTTGTTGTTTACTCAGCTGTGTAATCGTCAGGGAAAAGGTCCATTTGAACACGTTCCAGCTCTGTATGCAGCTCTGCACGTCAAAGTCTGATGATGAGGCTTGAAGTAACATCACTGAACTTGCAGTATTTCTCTGTAATACATAATCTGTTCACCTTTGGGCCAAGTTCTACATTATTGTGTTTTCCTGTGCATACTCATAACAACTTCACACTTTTCTATAGGTTCGTTTTACATGCAACTCTGTGTTGTAATGCATACATCCATAATGTTTTATGACTGTTGATATAGTGCATCTGAAAGCATAATGTGCAGCATTATAATTGCATCATCGTTGGACTATACATGTGGTCTTCATAGAACATGTGTTTAAAGTATTACGTTCAGTATGGGCCATGCTCTCTGTGGAGTTGGAAAAGGACTACTTGTAGCCAACATGAATATTGATGCATTGAATAGTTTGGGCCAAACATCACATCTTAAAAAATTGAACATGACCTATAATTGAAAGTATAAAGCAGGCCATTAATTCAGTATACACAACAGCATAAAGTTTATGTCATTCAATTCATTTACTGTTTGATAACACAGTGAGCAGATTGTGTTGCTTAATTGCTCATGATGACAGTTTAACATATGTGCTGTTTAAAGGTCACAGAATACATTATGGATTAACAAAAAGAATATCTCTGACTGAATGTCTTTTATTATTACCGCGGTCTATTCAAATTATGCATATACAGTTTATACCGCAGTCTAGTTGTCATAAACAATTTGAAAAGTCCTATGGTGGTGGAACAACACTTGTTTTATTTGCATTAAAGTATGAGGAATATACCACAGTATGTACACAGATTCACTTTATAAGTGGATCAGTTTAGCCAAACACAAGACAGGCATCAGTAGTAACAAGTATACTACAATACGACTAGCTATTGTATATATAATGTGTATGATTAATTTCCGAGTACTACATGTCATCTCATTATTGTTTAGTGCTTCAGTTTTCATTGTGTAATATATTTGAACAATGTATGTCTATAAAGCTGCTGCAGACTGAAGTTGTAACTCTCCACTGTGCCTTTATGAAAGCTTAACAACCAAAACAGTGTTTAATGCATTTGCTGCAGTATGAATGCATATTTTAGCAGTGTTTTTAACATTTGAATGCTTTTAGGCTTGCAAGCTTGTGTCATACAGATCAGACATTTACATTAAATAGCACTCATCCTTTTAGAACAACAGTAGATTCTACTCCCTAAGAGCGGCTCCCAAAGTGTAAGGATTTATTAAGAGCAAAGCCTGACATGGTAGGCACTCTAGATAAATGGAGGGCAATGTGCACAAAATGCCAAAAGTATTAGTGCTAATAAATCCATACACCTTGGGACCAGCTTTAAGTGAATTGAACTTTTATTGTAGATGTGAAAGACAAAAAAGGAGTTTAATACAATACCTGTTCTCACAGTTTCTTAGACGGGATACTCATTTGCCACATGGACCACCCTGTTTTTCACCCAGTTTCCAAAGTGGATGATTTATTTTTCACTAACCCCCTTTGGTTGTCTCCTTCTTTTTTATTGGTTTTAGCTGCCATTCTTGATGACCCTATGGAGTGCAGTAGAGGAGAGCGTTTGGCCATAACACTGGCCAAAGAAACCATCAACAGGAGCACTAACCGCTCCACCACCGGCAAGCTGGAGGTGGACATCTTTGAACTGTTGAGAGACAGTGAATATGAGATGGGGGAAACAAGTAAGTAGAACAAAGCGGCTTTGTGGTGTGAAAGTGTGTGTGTGTGTGTGTGTGTGTGTGTGTGTGTGTGTGTGTGTGTGTGTGTGTGTGTGTGTGTGTGGTGTGTGTGTGTGTGTGTGTGTGTGTGTGTGTGTGTGTGTGTGTGTGTGTGTGTGTGTGTGTGTGTGTGTGTGTGTGTGTGTGTGTGTGTGTGTGTGTGTGTGTGTGTGTGTGTGTGTGTGCAGAAAAAAAAAAGGAATAATTGAAATCAGCAAGCCTGTCATTTCAATTCACACTACTTTCTTCTTTTCACTCTGTCCATCACACGCCTCCCCCAAGTACACAGAGATAAGTCTGTCTGGTTCAACAATACTTCGGTCAAACCCAGGCAAGCAATTTATTGAAAAAAGATGCCAGTCTGTGGTGGAGCAGAAAAGCAAAATGAGCTGTCATATTTTAAAAGCTGCAGAAGTCAAACGGTGTGTTTATGTTTGTTTGTTTGTTTTTTTGTTTTTTTCTCTTATATAATTGCAACGTTCTCTCTCCAGTGACAGGTCCAATCAAAACAACATTTTCTGTAGAAAGGAGTGTAAGGTAAAAAATGGATTGATCTACAAATGTAATCTATCAAAAGAGATGGCATCCAACAGAAGGGCTTAGCGACTTTGAAAAAAAATGGGCAATAAAGAGATTTCCAGAAACAAATAGAACAAATGCTTCACTGACCCCGGGACTCCACCGGGTCCGTCTGCGCCGCGTTACGGCTGCGCCACGGTTTTGTTACGACCTCCTACAGCGTCAAACCCCACCAGGCGCGTTTCAGAAGCGGAGCGTCTTGCCTGCCGGCTCGCAGTTTTTGTTGATTTGTGCATGTTTCCTGGACAGGCTACTTTGTACAGACAAAGTTAATAATAACTGTAATATTCCAGTTATAAACGACATGAATCAAAGATGTGTTGCTGTATTTTAGTGGTAAAAAAATGCATTCATCATCATAATTATTCTATATATATAATTTACACAGTGCCTGTAAACCGGAGGAGAACGCTGGCATTTCTCCTCCTACTTGAAAGACTACGGAGGGATAGGGTCTGCAACATTTGTTTATTTTGGGGATTGACTGGATGCTCTGACCGGTCCACTTCCTGCCCGGCGCTATGCAACGCCTCGCGTCTCGCCAGCCGCCTATTTTTAGCGGAGCCCAGCGCCGAGACGCTCTTGAGCCGTAACGCGGCGCGTCTGGTGGAATAGCACCCATTGACTAGAGTGGCCGCGATCGTTGTGAACGCCGCGGTGCAGCCGTAACGCGGCGCAGACGAACCCGGTGGAATCCAGGGGTTAGGGTAACTCCATTAAAACAAGCTAAAGTATTTGTTATCAATTGGATCAAAGCCTCCACTTCACAGCTACCCAACAAATCAGTTTACAGGGCTGTGACTTGCTGCCTCACACATCAGTGTTTATAAATAATTTGTTTACATTTTAAATGAAAACAACCCAAGATCAATACAGAGCAGTACGGGTCTGCAGAAAGCATCCAATGAAAACTGCTATGACAAGAGGGGGGATTGATTTTCAATACAACACATTTCCACTTTAAAAAACCAAGGGCTTCAGTGGTGTTGCTTTATTCATAAAAATACAGGTTCATTTATCACAACAGCAACACACTGTTTTTCTTTCTCTGCCTGGCTTACTCGAAAACCTTTTCCGAATCTTTTCCTCATGTGTATTTTTCACGTGTGTACGAATGATTCATTGTGTGTGTGTGTGTGTGTGTGTGTGTGTGTGCATGCTGGATTGTGTGTATTTGTGCAAAGGTTTTGTGTGTGAAAGTGTGTGTGTAATTAGAGGCAGGAATTGGATTAGGTACGGATGAGTGGCTGCAGTTAGATGGAAATATCACAGAGGGGCCGCTACCTGCGCAGAAAAGTCCCGCCCCCATTCCTACTTGTGAAGTATACAACTCCTAAATGAATGACTCCCTGGACTGTTTGCTGCTTTTACAATCAGGAACCACACAGTTCTTCTACTGTCATATATTGCACATATAGCCACGTAACAAACACAAATGTTTGCTTTAGTGCTGCCTTGTGTGCTCCTGAGGACATTGATGGCCTACTGAGAACCTTTTTATCCCGATAAATCTTAAACCTTTAAGATCTGAAAGGAAACTTACAAGCACCATGAGCTGCAGCTGGACACATGTAGTTGTGGTAGCTGCATTGTTTGCGTGTTAAGAGTGTAAACAGGCTTGTTGTGCGTCAGTCTTTTGGTATTTGTGGATCTGCTCTTGTGTGTTTGTTCTTTTTGATTGTCCATCCTCCGTCCTCTTGAAAGCAGCTACATTGACAAGCCTTTTACAAGTCAAACTCATTACAGCCCTCTAATCATTCCAAGGTTCCAATAGCTTGTATTGATCAGGGGAAATCAATACCAAGCGGAGAAAATGGACTTCAGGCCAACCCCTAGACCTCCTGACCATAATTTGACCTCGGTGAACACCCTAGTACTTTTCACAGCGCTAATAGACACCTTGACACTGACATAAATGTCCAAGGAGTGCAAACAAACTTTTGCTAGAAGGTGGAGTCTTGACACAGACTTTTTTGTGCACATTATCTCTCTCCCACACATACACGCGATGCCGGCTGTGCAGTGAGACGGCGTATGAAAGTGTCAGACAAGCCAGCATTTTGTTGGCTGGCAGTCAAATCATTCAGGTTTATAATTTGGTGAAGCCATGCAGACAGGTGAAAATGTGTGTATGTGCATGTACTGTAAATGTGTGCATACAAGTGTATATGTGTGTTTATGTACGGTGTCAGTGTGTTCATGTCTCACAGGCCCCATGGGTAAGTAAGGGATTACTTATTAATCATTCGATTCACCGCCTCTGGATTCACCACACAGACTCAAAAACTGTCCCCCCTGCCTCTTCCACTGCTTAATGCTCTGCATTTGCCCAAATAACCCACACCAAATTATCATCTCACACACTTCCTTTGTGCACACACGCCCGCACATTAACAGTTGGCTACGTAGGGTCTGTACTTGTGTCTGCCTCACATCATTGACTGTAGCTGTTTAATTAAAGTCCTGGGATTATAAACTCACAAGAAATGGGGTTCTGTTTTGTAGTGTGGGGAAATTAAATCATATATCCTGAGTCAAATTCACATTGAAATGTTCCTGAAAGGTTTTCGTGAATGTGGAAAACAAGATAAGTCTGTCTGTATGTCATGTTGGGGATATTATGGCATTCATGTGTACACTTTTAAATACCAGATGTTATGTTTTATGCCTCAATATATTGCTGCTTGTCACTGTTTCTGTCACTCTGCCACTGTCTGTCAATGTATTTATCTATATGAGTCTCTTCCCATTTCTCTATCTTTCCATCTCCATATGTGAAAGGCTATTACATATATGTGAATATCAGTTCCTCCCTCAAGCTATTAAACTCTCATGGGCAGGGTATATATGATTTTTCTGTATGCCCATCACGTTAGGCTTATTAAACATGGAGAAATGCGTTTGGCCTTGTGCAGGTTTCATTAATACACGTAGGTTCAGGCTCCCTTGAGACAGTAGAAGCGCTGGCTCAGGCTGCTATCCGTTTAGAGGTTGAGATAGTCAGCATGTGCACTATTAACATCTGACTGAAGAGGGCCTTTTTATAATGACGTAGACTCTTCAAGAAAGACTGTGCTTTACTTTCCTGGTTGCCTGACCGACTAGCTACTAACTCTCTCACCGTCCTTTCACTAATCAATCCTCATGTTCCCTTTCATCTTCTCTGTGTTCCCTTTAGTGTGCCAGATTATGTCGAAAGGGGTGGTAGCAGTCCTCGGTCCCTCTGCCAGTCCGGCCTCCAACTCCATCATCAGCAATATCTGTGGAGAGAAAGAGGTGAGTTCATGCACACAACTGGCCTGCTGCCGCGGGCTACTGCTAGGCAGCATGCTCACAGGGCAACCAGAAATACAGAGCTTGGAACAATGACGCTCATTAGTGCCAGTTTGTTTTTTGTACAGTAGGATACTGTGGGGGGAATCAAACCCACGTTTTTAGTGAAAATGATTCCATCAAAGGTGTCATAAAGTGAGCAAAGCCGGAGTCAAGCCAATATCTTCAACCAAACACATTCTCCTAAATCTGGCAGGACCAACATCAGGCCCAGCAGGGAGTGATGAGGCTGGAGCCTATACGCCATATTCTAACTAAATGCTGCTGTTTATAAACTTTTCAAACAAGAGTTGACTGAGTGAACTCTACAGTGGAGTCCTGTTCTGATCAAAGCACCGCCGGACATTTGACTTCCTCCATTCTCCCTCATTAGCTTTGGCAGTTTAGCTCCCTGAGGCTTGCTAGCTTCAGTTAGAGATCTATTTAGAAACAAATACAAATACAAGTACAAGTTTGGCTGTTTTTGATCAGATCTAAAGGGTTGACAACAAACAACTTCTGCTGTCTCTGCATCTGCTGTTTAAATGTTTTACTTTGTAGATGATTTTACAGATCATAGATTATTTTTGAGAAAACGAGTCAACAGACATATTTTATTTTCTGAACAGTGAAGAAAAAGTCCATGCCTGAGTGGATTTAATGTCAAAGCCTGATGACGTGTGTACAGATCCCAGCTGGATGCTAATTGGCTTGTCTGAACTCTGACATGGTGTTTTACTGTCTGATGTCAAGAGCCTTTGAGTTATACAAAACCATAAACGTAATCAAAATCAATTAAACATCTGTAGCGGTTTCACTGCCATTGTGGCCGCAATTACTACATTTTAAACACATTAGTGTAGCTTTCTATAATATCTCCTGTGTACTGACTGCTGCAGATGTTAAGAAGGACTTGTCAGCTTTCTTTCAGTTCATCAATCATTCAGTTTTCACTAGTGTGTTGCCATAATTGGATTTGGTCCACAGAGAAGCCAGCTTTTTAACTGCGTGGATTTGATCAGCATAACTATTAGAAGACATTACCACCCCAGTCTCTATAATGTCCTCTGGTAGAGTATAGCCCCTCTTTCTAACGAGCCATCAGCCTGTTGTAGTGGTTGACTCACCAAGACTCCCTGCTGTTAGAAGTCTCTGGTGGCATTGTCTTGCGGGGATGACTGCTTTGAAACGCTGACTGTGATAATGCATGAATATTAAAGACCCCATAAAGGGAGAAATTACATTTCAGAGTGGTGGTTGGAAGAGATAGACACAGTATAGTCATCATACACCCTACAGAGTTGATACTGGCCCTAAAGATTCACAATTTCCCCACACTGGCAGAAATTGCATCTTTATATATCAATTGTTGGTGAGTGTTTTGAATGAATAGTGCAACATTTGGATGACCGGAATACTTAAAGGCTCAGCCTGTCTTCTCCATTTGTCACAGATAGAAAAATACAAGCTCTGCTGTTGTCATGTCCAATTAGTCTTTGTTCTTTCCCACGCATGCACATTAATTCACCAATGCTGTAGTCTAAGCAGTTTTTAGCGGTATTTAAATCCTATGTGTGAAATACATATATATGTGAAATGTGTGTTTATTTAGCCAGTTGGGTGTACATCTTCATCTGCTCTGTAAATGTATCAATACTCCTGTCAGAGTTCCCGTTAGCCGGTAATTACCGGACTTTGACCGGCAAAATATGCTGAAGACCGGCAAATCTAAATCTCTCCGGTCAAAATGTTCGGTCAAAATAATTTCCCCTTAGCGCAATACCGCATCAGTTGCGCCACTTATGTGACAGACAAGAATAGTATGTGACAGACAAAAGAGTATGTGACAGACAAGAATAGTCAATTCTAATGTCTAACACGTGGAGAAAGAGATATCCTGTATGGGTTGATTGTGCGTTGATCTGTTGGTAATGCCTCGGGGTTCCGGTGGGCATGTAAACAAATGCATAATGCTGCGCTATACTTTGTGGCCTCAACCGGTTGCATAGCGACGCTTGTTTAATATCGAATAATATCAATTTGTTTTAAAGCTCAATAAATAACAAAGAAGACCTTTGACCGCCACTTTTCTAATTTTGTCCGGAAGATTTAAACTTTAACGGACATGTTGACCGGCAAAAAAATATTCTAACGGGAACTCTGACTCCTGTATGTTATTCCTTGCAACTATCGACTCCCATCTGCTTTTGATGAATTCGTTTTTAGATCAAGACATTAATAAAAAAAATGTTCAGATAGATGACACAATGAGTGTTGTCTTGAGGGCTGTACTCCATGTTCAGCAACTTTTTACTGTAGTCACTTTAATCCATGTTATGCTGAACATTGAATTCAGACTTTTTTCTAAGTATAAGTGAAATGGAAATGAAACTTTACTTATGTATTATTGCTAAATGGTTGCTCTACCATACATTGTAAAGTGGTATATTTCAGGGGGGGAAAGAACTGCAAGTTCTCGACATTACTGAGCATGAAAGCTAGTCCATATGTAGGTCATCTTTGCAGGTTCTGTGAAAAGTGTTAGAGACTGTCTGTTGGTTTAAGGTGTTTATTTTCTGACATGATTCAGTTGGAAATGCACAGTTTGATGTGCTTTAACACGTTTCTCACCTCACAGTTTCATCAAGAAGAACTTGAGTTCAAAAGGCAGCCACAGAGGACCTCTTGCTTCTTCTTCCACCTCCAGTAAAAGAGGAGGAGAACACACTGAATGTTTGAGCGTTGGGAAGATGATAGATCTTATCGGGAGGATGTTAACATTCTCAACCCAAATCAACCAAATCCACTCCAACATACCTTATAGGTTTTATATAAACGTATAGTCATGTCAATTAGTCTCCAAATGTTTTGCACAATGATTAAAAAATAAATGAAGTCTGGTTTACAGAAAGAGATGATGTCAAAATACACACAAATTATTATTTTTACACAAAGTTGTCATGACAATAGGCAACACCCGGGGGGAAAGCTGTGTCCTTGGAAATACTGTACTTTGATCGTCTTATCTCTATTTTCACTGTTGTATTGAAAGCATTAATGACTATTTCTATGTTGGCAGAAAATTCCTATAATAATTAGGCACAATGGTCCTCAGTTGTGGTCTCCATCACACTGCCTGTTTTCATGGAAGTCATTCAGGTCTTAAATGAATGTCTGGAAAACCAGATGTCGTAGTAGTTTTGTATCTTGAGGATCAGGATTAATAACGGACAGTCTTAACTCAATGGTCCTCATCAGGTTGCTATTTAAAGCCAAGAGTGTGCAGATTTTCATTCTAACCGAACATCACACTAGCTGATTTCACTGATTAAGTCCCCCATCTCAGGCTCGAGCTGTGCAAATCAGTGAAGTCAGCTGGTGGTGTGTGTGTGTGTGTGTGTGTGTGTGTGTGTGTGTGTGTGTGTGTGTGTGTGTGTGTGTGTGTGTGTGTGTGTGTGTGTGTGTGTGTGTGTGTGTGTGTGTGTGTGTGTGTGTGTGTGTGTGTGTGTGTGTGTGTGTGTGTGTGTGTGTGTGTGTGTGTGTGTGTGTGTGTGTGTGTGTGTGTGTGAGTCAGTGAAGGTCACATTGTTCCTGTCATGTTCACTCTGAAAGGGTTGACTGGGTAATGATCCTTATCATATGAACTTATATTAGAAGGAGGGCGTTATAACTAACAGTACAGCACTTTCATGAGACATTACTCACAATAACTGTGCTCTTAAGATCCAGGAGAGCCTGTAGTACATGTAAACATTATCGCATAAGAATTCATTGAGAGTTTATGGAATTATACATAATATTTTTCACATCCCTAATAATATCAACAGGGGATTTGACTTTGTTTGTGTGTGTGTTGGTCTGCCTATCTGGCTGTAAAAGGTACAAACAGGTCGCCCTGAGCTTTAGGAGCTCTGATCACCTTATATCAATTTGAATTTAACCCTGCACAATGATGAGGAAAATATGTGATACTGTTGTTGAATATCCATTGCTATAAATAAACAGATCTGTACTCAGTTCTGTGTTTCAGCTCTTTTCAGTATACTGCTTCTACTTCTTCAATACAAAAAGGACATTATTTCTAGTATTCATTTATTGGACTAATTTAGTGAAAGATCAAAAATAAAAACAGATCAATAGTTACATTTTTGAATTATTGTACTAATACTTTTTTTCTACGTACTGAAAACTGTGCAATATTGCTGTCTTTCTCAGCCTGTTTTGCTTTAGTTAACATCACAGTGGTGATAAAATAAAAGAAAATGACACATTGTGCGGTCCTAAAGGCCACATATGCTAGCACTTATAAATGGCTGGTTGCCTGGGACACTGGTAGCAATATTGCAGCTGACAGACTCCACTATGTGATCAGCACATCATCTACCAATCCCAATCCATCTCTCCCTGGGTTGCGTTGCTGCTGCAGAGGCTACTTCCACCGGGTGACAGAGTGGGACTGAGCCCATCTGGGTTTCACACTAATGGTGACTAATAGAAAAACAGCGACTGCAGAGAATGGCTTGACTGTGTGTGTGTCATGTTTGTAGTTTGTTTTCCATCTTATGCTTCATGGCAAGCAAACCTTGAGGTCAGAGTGTGGAGGAAGGGTAGATTAATATTGACTAATGAGAAACATTTACAGGAGATTTGGATGAGAGGCTCCTGCTGCTTTTCATCTGGTGACCGCTGCCTCTAGCCAGAATAGCTTGTATAGAATAGTGCAGTTATTCTTGCTGTTGCTTTGTTTCCTGTGACCCTTAAAATGAACAAATGTGATTCTTATTTAAAAGTGGTGATTTAGATATGACAGGGAAAAGGCCAAGGACTTTTTATCCCCTATTCAAATGTTCCCAAGGCTCCATTTACAATCCCAATCTTGTTATTTTCATCCAAAGCCTCAGACTAAGGTCATGTTGCCATGAGCCATAATAAGCTTTTAAACTAAATCGAGTAAATGTCAGTGA